GGGAAAGGGGACACAAGGTAATGCAGTTGTCAGGGCGTATGCCAGCTTTGTTGTATTTGCTATGGATAGATGGGGGATACAAAGGAACGAGGCAGCAGAGGCAAGAATTCAGTGCAGGGGAGGAGGGAGACGGACCGAGGTGGTGTGATGGGGAGAGGGAAATACGTGCAGTGAGAGAGTGTGTGGGTTGTTGGAGGTTTTCATCGTGAGGAGAGAGCCCCCCCTGCAATAAACACACAGCAATGACATGTTAAACTGCTGCAGGTGTGTGAAACATCGGGGAGGGGTATGTACGTGTAAAGAACGTCAGTATAGTTCAAATATGTGCAGGTGAATAGGCCAGGGACGTCTTAGCATGTAGCTTGCAGAAATGGTACACATAACACAGACTTCCTTTCCGTTGAAATCGATGAAGCACTTAGGCACATCAGGCTCTAACACATCGAGACGGCATGTCTCCGAGAACGTCCTACGACACTCTGAGGACGTGGCGGTAACCTTAGCAGGGGTCATGGATGTCAAAGACAGGTTACAGACTGCATCTCCCTGTGGTGCATAGTGCAGGAGCGTTTTCAATATATCTGGGATATGCAAGCACATACACCAGTTAGGAAAGCAGGTGTGATCTGATATCAGCAGGAGCGGGTGTTTCAGTTGTTGACACATGCAGAGCAGCAGAGTTAAGTCTGGCTCTGGTCAACCCTCAGGTCATGACAGGAGACCTTACGCAGCACAGCGGGGAGAAATGATGGTATGAAGAGAAGAGGGCATAAAGGCTTTTCGGACACGGATTAATCTTGATTCTGACCCATCTGTTTAGACCAAGTTTCAATTAAGGCTGCTCCGGTTATGTTCAAGGATTCCTAAGGTTTCATGCTTCTTTATTGTCATTTGTACACAGCTACAGTGTGTTATGCGATGAAATGTTTAGTCACAGGCTCTTCGAACACGTGCAACACAATGAAAATCCAGATTCAAGTAGAACTAGAAATACTGCAAGAAGAGTCCTATATACAAGTATTGCAATATGATGTATCTAAGTACAAAACAGTACGACATGTTGATGGATTCAAAAGTCTCAGGTGTTTAACCGTCTATAATCAGTGGATACGTGATGTTGAGCTGAAAAAGGGACGGTCTATGCAACAAACACTTGTCAGTCACACTGTGCAGTGGTGCAAAAGATAGCCCCGCATGTGAGCAGCTGTAATCTGTGTGAAGACAAACAGTCGTTACGAGAAGTGGCCCGCGTGCCCGAGTTTCTCCAGTTAGCAGCGGGATGCGGAGCAGTCTGCAGGCGTGGTTGTGTTTACCCTGGGTGAGGATGGCTGTAGTGTGTGCTATTGATCGGCCTTCTCATCTGCAATCCACTCTGCCAAGCGGAGATCAACAAGAGGAGCAGCATCTGTGCGGGCGGGAGTAGCCCTGATGTGTCTGCCTGCCCTCCGGTAACTCTATCTCTCTCTGCTCCATCATATCTGATATCTGTGTGTACCCGAGCAATGCTGTAGTATGGCAAGAGTTGTGTCCGTGTGGGAAACAGTGGGAACAGCATGTCGAGGGACTACATTCTGCACTGTTTACTTACATGTTATGGAGCTCACAAGGGAAGTGACACTAGGTCTGTCATGATATGTTGGGCAATATATTCCCTAAAAAGACTGGGAATTAGAAGACACTTTTAGGCTACTGATATAACGATAAAATAAAGGCACAATAATTCAAGGATAATCCTTTAAAGTGCAATGCAACTCTCATCATACAGAATATTCAGGTATTGCAATAGGATTGTGATTTTTTTTTTATATAACATCAATAAAATATAGGCACACAAGAAGCAAATTGAAAAAAGTGTACTCTCAGGCTCTGTTATTAAAAACGCTTAAAGTGTGCTGGCTTACGTTCTCTTAAGAGTGAAAACCTGGCTGTTTGTTCCCGATGACTGTTGGTTAAAATGTAGCTGACATTCTTATGTAAACAAACAGGCATGTAAACACAACGGGCATAATCGAGGTTATCAAATACGATCAAGGTCACATCTGTAAGTACGTAAAGGTCGTTAATGTAATTATTGTGACAAGCTTTGGTGACGCAGAAGAAACTATAGTGCAATATTCTTAGTGATAACAATAGCTATATTATCCCCGGTTAGTGTCAACACTTTACCATAAATACATCCTGTTATGAGAGGTGGGCGGTACACATTCATTCAAACAGAAAACCCCACACGTTAGAAGCTCCAGGCTGAAAAGCATTATCTTTAAGACCCTCATGCATGGAGACAATGAGCTTAGATGTTATAGTCATTCTGCAACACATGACAAAGTGAAGCCATTTATGCATCAACACACAACATAAAAACATGAGGGAAAGAAAACAAACACAGCGATGCATGTTTTCCCGTCGACAGCCGCAGCAGAAACACCAGTGAGATGTTCCCTCAGATCTGTACCTCCACACAGGGGAGAGCGTTGCCTTCAGGGAGTTCTGCGCCAAACAAGAAGTCTATTTTAAACAATACCGAGGAGTTTTGCTGCTAAAAACCTAAAGGAGGCAGAATTTCCTGTGAGATAACTTTTCCTATGTGCACCCAGTGAGGTTATGTTTCACCCCTG